ATAAGAAAACATGCGACGCCGCCAATCATAGCTCCGTGAGCGCTGAGCACCATCAGGCAGCGTACTCGCCGTTCGGTTTTCCAGGACTCGATTTTATAATGATTTTTTAATGGTTATACATTTGAACAATCGCTCACTCTCCACGAAATATCGAAATGACGAACTATTATTTATACGGTTCCTTAATTAAATACTTTTATTATTATTATTTCGAAATATTTCACATACACTGCAGAGACGCAGTCTCTAGGATGACAGTAATTTAACAAATAACAATAGTTAAAGTTGTAAAAAATCATTATAAAATCGAGTCTTGGAAAGCCGAACAGCGAGTACGCTGCTTGATAGTGTTCAGCGCTCACAGAGCTACCATTAGCGGCGTTGCATGTTTTCTTATAAAATGCATATTTCCGCAAATTTTCAATGAATCGATCTGAAAATTTCCAGAAATCTTTCTTCAATAGTGAGGAACAAATGTCTCACTGGAAGTTGTTTCAAATTTCAATTTCCCTTGATACTTTTTGTCGACGAAACTAAACAAACGTGGTTACCGATTGGCCTCAATTTGCAATTAATTATTATTAAACAATAGGCGATTTTCAGCTTCTTTATTGTTTTGTAGGCATCGCTAGACTATACTGCATGCGTATACCAAATTTCAAACAATTTCAACAAAATTTGGCCAAATTACGACGATTTATATCTTAAAATCTTATTAAATTTGGGGATAAAAATTGTTCAGTTTTTTATTTTTATTATTAAAAATGAGCATCGAACAAAAAACTGCCAATAGAAAAAAGTTACGTCTTGTCATTCTCTACAAGCCTATATTTAAAAAAAATTAATTTTGCGACTTTCAAAATTTTCATACTCTGAGACGTTTGGACAATATTTTTACACGATTTCGAGCGCAGATCGAGTTCTTTTATCCGCGCCCTTAATTATTACCGTAACTAATATTGCAACAGTAGTGTTATAATCGAAAATAAATCAACTCATGGAATTAAATAAACAGCGGAAGCGCGAAAATAAATAACGTATTCGGTCGGAGTGCGCCTTTCCGGAATTAATTAATAAATCTAATTAAACCTAACTCGGTCAGTGAAAAACAAATATAATGTGAATAATAATACCGCGTATATCCGAGCTGGATGCGTCGTAGACGATTGCCGGAACGCTTCGGCTGGAATGAGAAACGTCTCAAATGCGGAAATACCAGAAGTCGGTTGCCGGGAACACCCGACCGGAGTGAGGAACGCCTCACTTACGGACCGACGAAACAGCGCGAAAATACGCACTGTTACAAAGTTACTACTATGATAATATCGAAAGGAACTACGGGAAAAAAACAACCGTTAGATGGTTACAATTCTTCTAGAATCTGGAAGAGCTTTGCAAGAAGATTTTCAAATACTGTTCTATCCTTGGACCCATGTGGACCCCTAACCCGGAAGGGGCCGGTCGCATCTCCTCGACCCGGACCTTCCTCAGGGTGCATCCGCCCTTCCGTGCGCCGCCTCAGCCACCTCCACCGGGGTAATGGAGTCGTCGAGCCCCTTGACACTGAGCTCCGCTCGTTTCGTTGGACAGACGACCCTCAGCCCGGTGTCCTTCAACAGGCCGTCGAATTTGTCCGCCCTCAGGCCACTGTCCGCACCAGGGATCTCCAAGATGAAGGCCCCGGTGACAGCCTGCGTGGGCCTCATCGTGTCTGCCAAGGTCAGATATGCTGCCTTGGCCAGCATCTTCGTCATGGTGATGCCCCTCTCTTCCGGGAGAGTCAGCGTCACCGCCGCCGTCCGCTTCGCTCAGTGCTTATATATATTATTACTTGTGAAGAATTTTTATTTTTTATATTTGATATCTTTTAAAATAAATCATATTAGGAGACGATTCCTTCAGATACAAAAAATATGTTCTTGGTTTTTATAAAAGAAATTATATCAGACATATAATATAATCTTATGTATAAAATAAGCAAATTAATTTGAACAGTTACATTTATCGACAAAGTTGATACATCGATGTAAAGGATCGACATTCCGCCATCAAAAAATAGTTGAACGACTTAGAATCATTGCGTTGACATTTTTTTATGTTTGTTATAATTTTATGCTAATTTTTCAATTCAATAAATAAGTTAATTATTTAAATAGAAAATCAGTTTTATTGATCTCAAACATAATTCTTAAATAAATTTTAAATTTTTTGATATAGATATTTTTCAAATCTGGAATATAATAAAAGTTGTAACGGTACACATTTCTCGACGCGCGATATTAGTTTGCCGGTGCCAGGATTCGGGAAAAGGGAAAGACTCTAATTGACGAGATCTCGATCAGAATTAACAAAGATTTATTCAAAAATTGAAAAAAATAACAAAATATGTCTGTATATTTACAGATATGTGTGTGTGTGTGCGCGCGCGCGCGTGTGTGTATGTGTGGGTGTGTGTGTGCGCGTGTGTGAAAACGGTAAGTAAATGAAAGACTTAAATTATTAATAACGGACGCACAGACGGTAATTTTTTATTTAGGCAGTTCTTTTGCCAAGACTTCTTGGAGTTGTTGTGCCTCGTCCGCGGAGTCGACAGCAGAACTGGTGGTGACGACATCGATAGCGGGCTTGTTGGTCGATTGTTGAGCCGGGGGAGGTGGTAGTGTGATCCGGAGCTTAGCCCAAAGGTCTGTCCCGACTAGGATGGGGGTGCTAAGAGTGGGTAGCACCGCAAACCTGTGTTTAACGGTTCTCCCCGGAACTGAGATTGGCAGTTTGATAGTTTCCTTGATAGAGATCTCAGTTCCATCCGCCAAATGGATTTCTTCGTTGGCGATAATAGGCCTACAAAGATTCCGTCCTATCCGTCGAGCGGTCTTCGTACTGATGAGGGAGACCTCGGAACCGGAGTCCATCAGAGCCCAGACAGGATGTTTTCGAACTCTCACGAGGAGATGCGGTCGTGGATTGTAGTGTATTTGGGCTGCGTGGCGGCCACTGGCCCGTGACTCGTTTCCCTTCGACGGGTGGCAATCCCGCGAGAGCACACCATCTTTACCGCAACGGGAGCAGAATTTTTTCGGAGGCCGCTTGCAATCCTGGCGAGTGTGCCCTTTCTGTTTGCATCGCCAGCAGCAATCCTCCCGATTATACGTTGCGGTAGTAACAGGGGTCTCGTTTGCCCGTATTATTGGATCCGGCTGGTGATGCTTTTCTAAGTGAGCGACTTTAGCGCCTAATTCGTTGATGTTAGTAACGCTTTCGAGCGGAATATACAACTGGAAGGTAGGGTCCATATTTTCGTATATTTGCTCCAGTTGTTCTTGATCGGAGTAGCCTCCGGCACGACGCATCAAAGTTTGCATTGCCGCAACGAAGACTACAAATGATTCTCCCGATTGTTGCTGCCGGCCTTGTATCTCACGTTTCAGCTGTCGTTGGTAGTCTGGCGGTAGATAGTGCGCCTTGAGGTCTCGGCAAAATTCGATCCATGTACTCCATGATGCTCGGTTGTTTCTATACCATACTAGAACGTTGCCTCGTAACAGCTCTAACAGGCCGAGGAGCAGGTGTGCGTCGCTATAGCCATATTCGTGACCCAGCTTTTCTACTTGCTCCAGGAAGGCAAGCGGGTCCTCTCCCTCGAAATAAAGACCCCACTTCCGAATTTGATTCAAGAGTTTTATTCGGTCCATCAAGCTTAGTGGAGGCGGCATTGAATGGCCTTCTACGCGGATGTTGCGTGGATCGAGCGCGCGGTATTTATTCCTACGGTTTGCCTGCTGAAGTCGGAATATTAGAAAGGAGCTTGCCGGGAGCACCCGGTTTGACCACGGGAACGCCCGTGTCGGCAACGGAGGTAAAGCGAGAAAATCCAGGAACGCTCGGTGAAGCCACGGGAACACCCGTGTCGGATACGGAGCTCGAGAACGCTCGAAGTAATCGCGAAAACGCTCGCGATGTAGGTTTGCGGTAAGGCGGGAGCCGAGTACGCTCGGCGGAACTGCGAGAATGCTCGCAGCTTTTGCTGGAAAGACAGCCGGGAACACTCGGCAGAAACACGAGAACGCTCGTGTATAATGGTTTGAAGCTAGAATCCGAGAACGCTCGGAAGGACTACGAGAACGCTCGTAGCACAGGATCGGTTGTTCGCTGTGGGAGCAGCGAACGGGATCTGGTATCAAGTCGTGCAGCCGAGCCTCTTTTATACCCGGCTGACAGCCGACCAGTGATGCCAATTCGAGTACCGTAGTGGAGGGGATACCCATGGTATCAGCAAGCTCGAATTGGCATCACTGCAGCTGACTGACATCTGGATTGGCAGGCAGTGATCCCAACCAGGCGGGATACAGTACGGCGTAGCGTAGGGGATCGCCAGCGAGTGACCGCTTGTTTTCAATTTATCGAGCGCTAAGCGCCCTTATCGAATACGGAAGATTGTTCGGTTCGTCAGCACAAAATAGTAACGATGCATAACGCATCGTTACAATAATATTGAGTATAAATGGATAACACAAAATTAAGGAATTAAAAAATTAATATATGTATATAGATTTATATTTTTTTAATTTTTTTATTTATAACATATTATAATCACACAATCCTATAATTTATATCTTTTGATACTTTTACATATGTGCTGTTCTATTTGAGTAAATAGATGTAGCACACAAAGGCATGTTTATTACAATGATCTTGCCATTTTGGATCCGATTTACTGTATTTTTAAAGATTACATTACAATTATATGGCAACAAAACTAGACAAATACTAAAAATGTGTAATGAAAGAGTAATTTTTAAATCGACCAATTCATAATTTAATTTACCTCCCAAAATTTTAATTCGATTACTTTTCAAATCACAGTCTCATTACAAAGGCATATTGATATATTTTTACGTTGATTTATATTTTGTGATTCGTCGATTCTCTTTATGTTTTAAATATCAGCATGTTAAAGCACCAGCAAAATTTAAATATTGTATCTCATCCACATAGATACAGAATTTAAATATTTTTTAACTTTTAAAGCGTTTTAAATGTTTCTTTTTTTCCAAATCGAGTTTCTTTTTTTCCAAGTCGTATCCAAGATTTGCGCTGCATAAAGTTCTTAGTTTCGAAAAAATGAGAAAAGTACAATATCAATGGTAAACTAAGTTAACAGCATATAAAATTGAAGTACATACTATACAAGTTTACACGTAGTACATTAGGTACGGAAATTCATGGTGTGATGCTTATTGATAAAGCATGCTCTTGACTATATTTTCTTTCCTTTTACGTAATATTTATCAGTCTACATATATGTCTGTATATGTATTCCGTTTTGGCTTCAATCAAATCTCACACAGGAAATGTATTCGTAATTTATCTGCCAAATGGATTCGAATTCCTATTGTAATCATCATCGTCTTTGTTAGCCCCATCATTATCATTATCATCATCGTCTTTAAAAGGATTAGTCGCATCGTCATCGTCATCGTTAGCAAAGGGATTTTTAGATTCATCATAATCGTCCTTCTCAAAGGGATTGGACGGTACAATGGGGGTTTTCGGTGGAACAAAAGTCTTTTCGATCGGCGATGATTTCGGTGTAGTGCTGTTCAAAATACGAGCTTCTCTAATCGGCACTGGCGAAGCTTTACCTCGCGGTGTCGACAAACCGCTTCCTGTTCCCGATATGTTCGCTTCTAACGACGAGGAATATACATCTGGCTTTGCGAAACTTCGGAAACGTTCTTCCGTTACCAACGTAGGAACATCATACGCAGTACGTCGAGATTCTGTTTTATCCACTAAAACAACGTAGAAGCGTATAAATTAATCGTTACATATCATTAAAAAAAAATGCATCAAATCGTACCTGAAATAGAACTCTTTCCTTCATTTAATCTGAGCCTCGCTTCCGCGCCCGGACCATAATTTAATTTAGGCTCCTCTATTTTAGTCGGTGTAGGTAATGATTTGTCTGTATCGGTAATTACTGTTAATTTCTTAAAAACACCTCTGCCGAAGTAATCGGCTACTAAAGAAAATGGATCCTCTGCTCGATCGAGAAGACTGTGGAAAGTTTCGTGCACGTCTCTCGACTGCTCTTGCGCTCTTATAATATCCAGTAATTTCTTATTATTTGGCAAGCATGCCGGGCATTCATTTTCATTTTCCGAAAAGCTTTGAAAGCAACTGTCACAAAAACAGACGTAATATATTGGATCAAAATAAATTATAATAGCAAGCTAATATGTATGGTAAAAATAATATTAAAATGGCTCACTGTTGATGATACGAATGTTGACACATAAAATGTACAGATGGTAACTCCAACTGATGATGGCACGCGCTACACCGCGATCCTTGAAAGATTATCGTGCTATTTTTTATTGCTTCTATTTGTTCCCGTAATTTCAGAGTATCGGCTCTGTATTTCTCCGTTAGTTCCGCGTCAGCTTGAGTTTGTTCGTTCTCCGTCCTTAATACACTGCATAAATAACTTCTAACATCTCCTAATGTACAGGTCAATGATGTAGAGATTGCATCGATGACCATCAAGGGAGATAACAGTCTTTCCTGGGCTGTAAATATAGTTTCAATGTATTCAGTTAAATAATCGATACTTATCTCGATCAATATCGATAACTAATATTCAGTAAATATTCACCGATATAAGCTAATATGTCTGCAAGTAGTTTTGTCGGTACGTCCTTATTTTTCGCCACGCTCCACAAGGCTTGTACCCACAAATTAGGATCCTGATGGCCAAATCTTTTACACGTAGCGAGAACCTGTTCGCTGTCGCCCTCGCGTAAATGAAACCGTAATATTTCTTGATATCTGAAAGGATAAAATATACATATATATTATATGCATAAGCGTGTAATCTTTTACACCATGATACATAACTATGCTTACAGTTTACTCTCCTCATAAAGGAAAAGCAATCCTTTTCTAAAATTATGCTGATGACAAAGTATTAATATCTGGTCTTTATCATAACGAGCTTCAGAATTTTGTAAAAGTCGTACAATTTTTTGTTCATACTGTATTTTAGCTACATCATTATTTAAAGCCGACCAAACGTGTAAATAATGTTCCATTAAGGTATTATAAACTAATGTACTCCATCTATAAGAAAAATACAAGAAGAAATAAATTAATTTCATGATAAGAAGTGTCTGTGGCTTTTTTATCAATTATAGTGACCTTGTATCTGATTTAACTAAATGCTCCAAGAACTCTACAAGTCGCTCCGAATTATTTAGAAATAAGTGAATAAAATCTTCTGGATTGGCTTTATCGACATGCTGCTCTGTATAACCATTTAAGGCTTCCTGTCGGAAAAAAGTAAACAATTGATAAATATTTTAGTTTTTTTTTCATACTAATTTACTTGAAACCAATAAAAAATTAAAGATCTTTGCACAAACCTGATCTACAAGAGGCTTGTTGAAAGGTTTATAATTTGTACATAAAGCTTTTAAAAACTGTGTAGATTCGCCAGGTACATTTTCTATTAATATATTTCCATATTTTTTCATGTTAGCTTCTGCCTAAAAATATTTGTGAAAGATTTTTTTTAACATAGATGTACATTTACTTTTGCATATATACATGTATAAATACAAATATAATAATACCTCTTCAAATTCTAATGTTGCCATGTACTCTAGTGCTTTTTTATATTCGTGTTTGTCTTCGATTTGGATACGAAGATACCACTCGTGTTTGCCATGCTTCTGTGCGAGTAACAAAGCATCTTCCGGCGATGCTTGACGGCAAACCTTTATCGCTATCTCCACATCAAAATCAACTTCGCGATCTTTTGTCTAACATAATAAATAAATATATATATACTAGATTTATATATATATATATATAATGCACTTAATACCCAACTAAATACTGAACTTACCATGATGAATTCTTTTAATTTATCGGTATGATTAAGTTTAGTGTAACAATTTAGCAACAAGGTTGTATGATCCTCGGTTGCTTGTCCATTTTTATGCAACGCTTGCAAATACGTCGTCAAATTATCAATATGTTGAGAATCTAAGAATTTCCTTATGACGTAAGACGGCTCCAGTTTGCCTATAGTCTTTATGTATTGTTCTATAGCGCCATTATGGTCCCCCTTGGAATATAAATGATCTCCGTATTGACGGAAAATATCTATAAGACCTTCGGTGTCATATTGTTGATTTTTAGCTATCCTACAATAATGTAAAATCACATTATTCGGAATTGTTCTATTCGTACTATAATCTAATTGCAATTAAGTCAGAAAATATTGAACATACCTTATAGAAACATCGTACAAATTCTTTTTAAAGAGCAACGCTAATTTGGACTGCAAGTCTTTCTCATCTAAATGATACAACTTGTTATCTCCGCTAAGTATAAAAAATCCACCCCACTCGGACAAGACTGCTTGGACTGATACCATCGGTGCAGAGAACACGATGAACTTATTTTGAATATCAAGCACAGTGATAATGTGCTTGTCTACACCGGGAGGTATCGGTTCTATTGTGCTACAGAGATGATAAAAACATACATTTGTAGCATAATAATAATAAAAGAATTAAGAAAAATACATATGTGTGAATTTATTACTTGGGTTTGGCGGATATAGTTGTTGTCGTTCTCGGAACGTTTGCCGCTTCCTTCGCTACTATCACCAAGTATGTTCTGAACCATTCTAGCATGATCTTCTGACCCTCTACTGCATAGCATGGACCTCTGCCGTCTGGTGTGTAACAATAAATAGCCTGAAAATGTTATGACTAAATAATTTTAGAATTGTAACATATATAACGTGATAGAAAGTACCCGAGTTACATGCGACTTACATCATTTCGTCCGATCATAAAATGGCTGTCCTGCATGGATTCAGCAAGCACGCTGCATTTTCGTGCACAGCCCATAGCATCCAAAGCAGATTTAAATTCTTTATCTTTAACAGTAATATTGTATAAAAACACATTATTTTGCGTAGCGACAAACAGGTGCGTCTGTTTACCAGTTGATCTGATTGCGAGGCCAGTAACAGATAGATTAGCATCCTTCAAAACTTTTATTTTATTTTTTCTCTCTCGAGAAAGATCACCTCTAAAAACAGAGAGAGTTTAAACATATTATAAGTAATACAATTCTACATTATAATATAAAAAAATATAAAACAGCAAATATATTGTGAAGAAAGAAAATAATATGTCTGGTAATATGTCTAATATAAAATAAAAATAGAAGACTCACCTGTACAACATAATAGAACCATCTCCAAATCCAATAGCCATTAACGTAAGACTAGTATGGACACACAGAGCTGTTGCTGGGACTGCTCTGTAGCTAGGTATGGCTCTGCTTATTCGAACACATGTCGGATTACCTTGTTTATCAGGTTTAGCCAAATTCCAAACTTTTATAGTAGGATTGCAGCCAGGCTCATCTTCCTGTCAATGTGTCATACACATTTAAATTAAATCTTTCACAATTAAATATATTGTAACGAGAAATAAGAGTGGCCTTCTTACACCAATAGTAAACAGAAAAGTGGAATGTTGGACTTGCTGAGCTAACACCAGTGTAATCTCATAAGCTCGAAATGTTGTAATCTCATACGCTCTGTTTATTAAATGTACATTGCCAGTATTATCTCCAAATATCAAGTTACCATTACCACTAGTAGCTGCCGCGACTTGTGCATCCTGAATGAGAGAAACATCAATAAAAATACGATGGTTTTTTTTTTTTGTTTATAAGAAAACAATTAAATTAATTATTAAAATATACAAAAAAGTCATCTTACTCCAAATGCTTTAGCGATTTTTCCTGCATCAACTTCTTTTTTCAAATCAAAGAAATTGAAGCGTCTCCACTAAAAAGACAATAATGTGTAAGATTAGCGTTGACATCTTAGGTTATACAAGTTCAAAAATTAAACAATATATACGTTGAAAAAAAGACGATAAATCAAAATAGGTTACAAGAAAATCATCAAACTAACCTCCAGGAACGCCATAATAAATAAAATAATATTTATTTACATATATATTTAGGAAGATTTATACTTTTAGTCGTTTACTTGACAGCAATAAGTATAATTAATCCGTCACACGCCTGCTGTCTTTTACAGTTTACCACAAGCTTACAGCGCTTACAGCTGCTTCTATCAGCTGTTTAGGATGACATTTCCTTTTGCGCATGCGCACAAATCTGCCATATCAACGCAAGATCGCACGAGATGCACAATATTTTGATCTGAAAGTCAAATAAAATGCATAAGCTTACAAATTATTTATTGCTCTTACTTGTAAAATATCTAATTTTGGCTTTATTTTCTGAAAGTTTGTTGAAATATTCAGAAAAGTTATGTGCCGTTCTTTTAATATTGCAAAAGATGGCAGCATCAGTGCGACCGGACAAACGCGCTCCTAACGGCAAATTGAAAAAGTTACAGTATACTTTAACCTGCAAGTTTAGTCAATTAAGTGCTTGTAATTAATCATTATCTTTTTATTTATGTGGTTAAAATAATAAGTGCGTGTAATATTTTATCCACCTTTAACACACTGTTTAAATAAAGTGTAATGGCAAGAAGTTGAAGTGTTGAAGAGAGTGTGGAAGAAAAGAATTACGAAATGCATCTTTGGCGGGTTTACACAAGAGAAGACATTGCTTGCAGAGGTATCGTTTATTTTATTTTCCTTTTATATATCTTTATATTTGTTAAATATTAAGTTGGAGATTTTACACGTTATATTTTAATCGCGTCCTGATGCCTAAATATGCGTTTAATGATTAAAGCGATGCACGAATTCAACACACGTCGTGTATCGACAAAAGTGCCAAGTCACTTTATATGCTTATATTATTTATCACGATAAAAAGAAATTATGTAACTATCATACACTTTACGTTTCAAAAAGTTCTTCGTAATTTCCTCTCACCGATGTGGATCGAGATCTTTTTATGTAAAAGTTATGAGATCTGAAATCACTCACGCATTGTATCCTCGATCCATGGATAATTGTGGAATATGACGAAATGTTGAAAAGATACTTATATTTCGTTTACAAGCCGTAAAGTGGTCGATCCGATCCGATAGTTCGCCTGTAACGCTCGATTAAGCTCGGGTGGCACACAGGGTTACAAAAGACCGCGACGAAACGGCACGCCAATGCAATGTAAGAAAAATGCTTGTACACTTCTTCGAGACAAAGAGAAGAAATCGCGCTGTCCTTGTGTCGTGCAGATAGAATTCCATTGCAATGACATTCCGCCTCGTACGCTCTCAGATAAGACGTAAGTTCTGTTATATTTGTTAAAAAGGACGAACAATTAGTGTGTTTCGATGTTGGGGCGGGTGTGTTGCTTTACAGAGCTGTGCGCGGGACGTAGACTCGAGAGAAATGGTCATAAAATGTGTTTTTTTTTTTTTCTTGAAAATCGGACGTCAGTCGATAGTGAGAAAGATTCGACGATGATTACATCTAGACAATTTTGGACAAATTCTGCGAGGGACGAGGGAGCTGTCTCTTCGTTTCTTAAAATACTTAAAATATCAAAATAACAAGTGATTCTTGTACATTAACGCTTAATATAAAAGTCGGATAGCAATAATTTACAAAACAGAATTCAACATTTCAATAATTTTACACGTTCCTTTTTCACAATAGCTGGCCGTGCTTCTCTTAATTCGTATATTTTGTCGCACACTTAACACTAAATTATTACTTAAGATGTCGATTTTGAGCCCTTATTATTTAAAATCGATTGTATACGACGTGTCGCCTCGGTGACACTTAAAAATTAGACGATTGCGTTGAGTGCTAAATACGCACTTCTCTTGCACGGAGCGCAGTATCGCGAAGTGTTCCTCTCGTGCTCGAGTGCAACGAAACGGACAGCTCCTTCTTCTCGCAGATTTTGCGAGAGTTTCTCCGATTTTCAATTCTTGATGGAATAGCGCGAAAATCGCACGTCGCAATATCTTCCGGATGTTTCTCTCAACATTCAAAGACACTAACAATAAGTCGGAACTGCTAAATATTCGCTATCGATCGTCCGCACGGTTAATTAAACACTTGAAAATCAGAGCAGTCGGTGCTGTTTTTGCGGTTTGGAAATAGATATAAGAAACATGCCGTGATGTTTAGATGTAGGTCATTGGAAAGGTTTTCGGTGTCACACGGTGCCAAATTTGTTGCATTTTAAAAGCAAATTAATCAATTATTGATCACTGCTGTTTTTTTTAACAATTTAACGAATATGATAACATCTCTTTTCAATTCTTTAAAACTTAATTCTTAATTACATTATATACGTATAAATGGAGTGTTTTTAAATTTTTTATTAAAATAAAAGTTAAAAATTTTCTTTTTTTTTTCTCTGAAATTTGAAAGTGATGATATTGTTCGATTTATATTTTGAAATATTGCATTTATAGCCGTGAATTGATGCGAGATCGATCGGAATACGAAAGCGACGTACGAATTCCGCGCTGCGAAACACAGAGCAACGAGCTCCATCACGCCATCGTTTGTACATACGTATCGTGCTCGCGTTAAAAAGGACTCTATTAGACATAGAACCTACGTGAGATTCGGAAAAAACGCGGGACATATCCCGTTCTCGTCTCTTGAGATTTCAGCCACCGAATTTTTGACTGCTTCTTCGGGTCGTGCAGCAACGCGATCGCTTAACTCTTTGTCGGACAGTCAATTAGCGACACAACAATTGTATTTTTCGAATGAGCATTCCGCTTGCACTGCGCGAGAATCAGAGTGTCGAATTGATTTTTCTTTCTATTACAGTAAGTAATGTCTTCTTTTCTAATATTATACCTGCCGTTTTTAAAGAGTTAAACGGCGTCCACGGGCTCGCACGCTCGTGTACAATATATTTTAGTCCGCTATATATTCTAGTACGATAGACGTGTTAGCTGACTTGCAACGTGGAATACGGAAAATCATCCCTTATGCCTATTTCTTTTCAATTATGTCGTGTACGGAGCGTCGTAGTCCCCCGGCAACGATTCTCGGAAATGTCGCCGCGAATCCGCAGGTTCGCTCTTTTCAGCTACCCTTTCTCTACTTTCATCCGCTCTCTCCTTTTTTTCTCTCCTTTCTGCAGAGCACGAATATATCCTTGTTGCGTTTTAAGTACAGAAAAAAAGCGCGACCAAAAAGAACAGAGTTCGTTTCGTAGCGACGGAAGCTACGGTTGAAAATCGATAGTTACATCCTTTTGCCCTTTGCGATCTGGAAATTGCGAGTTTATAGAAAATATTTTGATCAGTGTTGCATTACATCTGCGTCCAGCGGAATAAAAGCTCCTATTCTCGAGGCGTGGATTTAGCGTCGCACGCGGCAGCCACGGTCCTTCTCGCGTCTCACAGTCGCGTTTAAATGCATTTATTTCGAACGGATTAGGCAGATGTAACGCGACGATTGGACGGCCGCATCTACGCCTAAACACGTAACGAGATTACGAGCCGGAATTCGCACGAAACGAAGAATCGATGCTGTTTTACTTCGAAATAATTCTTGCAAAGCGCGGAAATTGATTTTCAACGAAATTACTCGACTTTTCACAGAATTCAACTGTGAATATAATTATTTTCGTCGCTGTGCACCGCTCGCCCTGCGTCTTTTTTATCGCTCACGGCTTCTCAAATTGTCATATTTCTGCCCTCACGTACGGGAAAACGCTTCTCACTTGCCGCGTGCCGGATAATTTAAATCGCGATTAAGCGATCAACTGGGTTGAGCGAGCGAGGGGGTGGATAGGGACAAGCGCATCGGTTGAAGGAAATATAGATGTGTAGGGTAGGTCGCGCGGAGGACGATTGGTTTGTCGCTCAGAGTATTTCGAGGTTTACAGACACAATGTGCTTATGCTAATTATTATTCTCTCTTTCACTTTGCGATCATTCGATACGTTGTTGCAGTGCGGTCGCTCGGCTCCGTGCATACGTTTTTCACGAACATTTAGTTTATTACATGTATGTATATATATATATATATATATATATATATTTTATTTTTT